ACAGGCCATTACAGCAGTTGTCCGTGCCGCCACTTCTGAAGAAACAGAAGAGAGCAAACCCACTGCTTTCACTTCAGAACTGAGCCAAGACTGCGTGGCAGCAGGGATTATCTCCATGCTCTTCAACTAAAATAAATAACAGTTTACTTAAACAGAGCAAAGTCAAAAGCTTTGGCTTTATATTATAAAATCTTAACCCATCTTAGATTTCTATCAAAAGGGTTTCCTACATTAATATATCCTGTTTCCATCTTATTATGGTAAGTTGGCCAAAGGAAAAAAAAGTTATTTGCCAGCAATTCCATTCTATTCCTCATCCATGAAACTTGCTTATTCCACAGCAAACCCAGAAGATTTAGTGCTGCATTTGAGCATCATGTCTTAATGAAAGGAGGGAATGTTAGTCCCAATCCTTCTGTAATGGTCAGAAATCCTAAGCAGCCTACAGCCTTTCAGTATCTAAAGGGGGGGCTATAAGACAAAAAGGGACAGTCTCTTCAGCAGGGTTTGCTGTGACAGGACAAGGGGAAATGATTTCAATCTAAAAGAGAGTAGATTTAGACTGGATGTAAGGAAGAATTTATTGTTATTATTATCATCATTATTATTATTTATTTTTACAATCAGGGTGGTGAAGCATTGGGGCAGGTTGCCCAGAGAGGTGGTGAATGCCCTTGCAGACACCCAAGGTCAGGCTGGACGGGGCTCTGAACAACCTGATCTACCTGTGGGTGTCCCTGTTCACTTCAGGGAGGTTGAACCAGATGGCCTTTATGGGTCCCTTCCATCTGAAACAGTTCTATTATTCTACTACAAATCCTTCTGAGGTGCACATCAACATCTGTTAAATTGTACACGAGCCATCTTCTGCCCTGCTGGTACAAGTCTCAACCACATGCATGTCACTTAACCTGGACACTCCCCCCATGCATGCTTTGCAGTGCTCTAGACTGCATTTTAAAAATAAAAAGCAAAACTCCCATAGCTTGTTTTTCATTTGTCACAATTGAGTAAGCGGCGAACAGGAACTGCAACTGTTTAGAAATTCCTTGGTCAAGGGAAATTCATTAATATATTTTCAGTAACCCAGGAAAAAAAAAACCCAATCCCTTATTTTGAAGAGGGTCACGCACACATGATGTTGCATCAGTGTAGTAATGCCACCACATTTTTCTTGTTGGAGCCTGGCCCTCCAGCGTGACCTGGTGTGGAGGAAGCCAGGTGAAGAGCCAGGCTTGCCGCAGCCAGGCTGTGTGAATGCAAGAGCACGCAGGTGCCAAGCACACACAAGAGAATACAAGCTTTTGGCTTTCTAAAAATAAAAAGCCTGTAGACAAGAAGCACAGTTAGCCAGACTGCAACACACACAGTTTGTTTTTCAGCATTATGAACTCGGATAGCGTTTCATTGTTGAAGGAAATTAATTCTCAATGTCTGACTACTTATAGCAAGAGGTAGAAGCACTGATTAGTTTCCCCACGATGCTTGACAAGCCCAGTTAGCATGACCATAAGCTCTCCCAGCAGCTACTGGATTGGGCACAGCGAGGAAATAAATAGCTGATCTTAGAAGTGGTGAAGCTCTCTATAGCTTTACAGTATAAAATGAATCACAACAATAAGATACTGAATCTTCACACACTCGTCAAAACCAGACACCGTGAAATATTTTGCTGGACAAGATAAAATAACTGGAAATTCTCCTAACTGTAAGCACAGTGCTGAGGTAATTTGGAAGGTTTACGCATAGGAAAAGCTACAGTGTTTTATTTTACATAGCAAGACTCCAGCAATATTCACCTTCCTCAGCACAGCGGGCATCATCCCACAGAGCCACTCAGGCCCCCAAGCTGCACCCTCAAAACCCCTCCACTGACAGTGACCTCTACAGAGCTCAGACCCATTCTTCCATTTGGGAACAAAATTTCCCGTGTTTCCTCTGAACCCCACGTTCCTTCCCTCACTACAAGGCACTGCTTTCTCTTTGACTGACTCTCATGTATTCTAGATTTTTTTTGTTTCTGAATTGTAGGATTTAGAATTTATGCACAACTCTTCTACAAAGTTTAATACATTATCAAAGCAAAATGTGATGGCAGCTACAGCCATGAAAAACCTTGTGCCTTGCACACACACTGGAAGTATGAAAAATCACATTAATAGAAACAGTTTAACGAACTATTAGGTATTTTTCTTTAAGGCAATGTTAAGTATTTAATGCGTTCATTCAAGCATGTGCATTTTGAAGGCTGTTGGTCTCAAGATGAGTATACCTGAAAGAAGTGGACATGAAGACAAAAGCAAACTGAAATACATTTTCTATCAGCCCTGAACATGAGAGAAAAATCATTCTTCATCCTTTTTAGTGGAGTTCAGCAGCACAGAGAAACCAATATTGAAAATGTCATGCTTTTCAAGATATTTCATGTCAAATATACTGCTTTCCTTTTCTGACCACTCCAACTGCTCAATGCCAAGATATCCTTACAGCTTCCCTTCCTCCCTCAAGTCACCAGACTCTTCTTCCATCCTTGGCTGAGAGCTTTGTGATAGTGACAAGTGCTTTGATGGCATTATCATCCATATGTTGCTTTGTTGCGTGCCTGGAAGGACTACCAAGTTAGCAATAACTATGATTCTGTTATGTTCTATGAAAGTGAACTGTCTTAGACAACTACAGGAATTCTCTTGCAGCCAGCTGTGGAGCAGCTTTGCAGGCAGCTCTAGCCCAGCCCTCCAGGAGCTGAAAGCCCTCTGAGGATCTATAACTTCTGCTTCCCTGCTCAAGGAGAGGCCCTGGGCCTGCAGCTCACCTCCTGCCCCGCTCCTCCACCCAGCACCTGGGCCTGGTGAGAGCTTGAGCTTTGTATGTTAGAGCTGTTGAGGGACTCCAGTGTTTGCAGATAAGCAGGTTCTTAATTACTTTTTTTTCTTTCTTTCTTTCTAAATTAGAGATGATCTGCACAGCAGCTGAAGTGACAGCACTCCTCAGGGAAGCAGGACTTACCTCAGCAGCTTCTTTAAGCACAAGGCTGGTGGCATGGAAAGCCATCACAGATACAATTCAATACCAAAATAACAGGGATCATTTCATTCCAGAAAACACCGTGAAAGCATTTGTAGAAAGAAATACCTTCATTTGTGGGTGTCCCTTACAGAATGGTCCATCTGCTCCTATAAACATCTTTCTGCCTGTATATTCCTGTTAAGAACTGAATTCTTGTAGCCTCATTTTTGGCACCTGTAACAGTGTTTTATGATACCTCCCTGGTGCCTGCCTATGGTGGCATTAGCACTCCCCAAGCTTTAACAGAAACATTTTCTCAGCTACGTCTAAAGCCAGAGTTAATTTTTGCAGGGCTGCATTACATGCTGCCTCACAGCACTGCCTGTTCCTCTCCAGCACTTCCAACTGCTCAGCTCCCAGCTGATAGCAGAAAGCTCTTGTCACGAGTCCCTAAAAATATACCATGGCTAATAGCAGTCCCATCATAGTTCTGTTACTCTAATTCTTCCTTTGCTATCCCAGCCCTCCTAGGCGTTGATGATGCCGTCTCACATTGCTACCACCAAAAATTCCCGAATGCTTTTATTACCCAATAAGCTTTAAAATCCAATTGGTCTTGCCGGAATCTCCTAAGTTGCCACAGAAGAGACAGAGCCAGGGCACTGTGCGAACCTGCAGTGCTTCCCAAGAGCACACCTGTACATCTTGCTGGAAAACTGAGCAAAAGCAGCAAAAGGCACATCATGAAGCCCAGGTCGTCACTGGGGAAGGCACACACTGCTGGCCAATGCTGCCTTAAAAGCGTGCTCTTTTCAGAAAGCAGAATTTGAGGCGACTCAGAGTTGCCCACACCCCAATAAGCCACATTATGCAAATCAAACCCTGTGTGCCATCAGCTGGGCGAAGGCTCACAAGCCCGGCCATTGCTATTAAAAGCAATAAAACCAAAACACGCAACTGCGGTCACCCACACGTGTTAGAAAACAAACAGCTGGCAGACTGCTTGGCTAATGCTTCAGCCCTGAGCCCCCAGGGCTGCCTCAACTGTGCTCTCAATGCAAAGACAATGGGAAAAGACACAGACACCTAAGCGAAGGAGAGGCTCTGTGGCACTTCAGGTGCTCATATTGCCCTTCTACAGCCAGCATAAACGTGAACTTCAACCAGGGTGCATGGGTCAGCTATGCAGATCACACGGCCTCCCTCTTATACAACACAAGGCCACGTCCTTCCCGCTGCAGCACCAGAGACCTCACGGGCCTCATCACCTGCACCTGTCCTGTGCAGGTCCCTTGCCTACAGTAGGAGCACATACGGCCAGTGGGACCTATGGACCTCAGTGCTTACAGGCTCCTAACTCAGAGAAGAAACATTCTGCTTTTATGCAATTATGCCCCATCACTAAGCTTACAGTCAGCCCTGCTTTACACCTAAAAATTGTCTTAAATGTTTCCTTTTAGATGAGCACAGTGACATTTAGGAGAGAATACAGCCTTCCCCAACATGATGTGCTCAAATACAGGCATAAGCTCTCCAACAATAAACATTTTAGAAAACGCATGAGCATCTCCACAATCCCACAGTAACAGTCTCATTCTTGGATCTGTGACATTTTTTTGGGGGTGGAGAGCGAAGGATGCGGGAAGACTATTTCCGAACAGACAGAAGACGTGAAAGAAAGGCAACCGGCGATGCAATCGCATTCATTTATTCGGTTCTTCCCACATCCCTCCCTCCGGTTTGCAGCACACAACGGGGAAGAACACGCATTCTCTCGGCACCAAGCTCGGCCGCGGGGTTCCGCAGGGTTCCGCAGCAGCCCAGCAGCGGGGCCGAAGCTGCCGCCCGTGCCGGCTCCGCCGCTCAACCGGACCGGAGCCCGGCCCCCCGCCCGCGTTCCCCGGAGGATCGGCGGCCCCTTCGCAGGGTGGGGGGGAGGCGCGGACATTTTGCGGCAGCCGCTCTCCTGCCCCGCGCCGCTACCGGCCGCTCACCTGCCAGCTCGTCGGGCTCCAGCCCGCTCTCCGCGTCGATGCCGCAGAGCACGAAGTAGTGGGCGAAGCGGCACGGGGCCGCGCCGGGCCCGGGGGCGCCGCTCCCGCTCATCCCGGCGGCGGCGGCTCCGGCTCCCTGCGGCAGCGCGGCGGGCTCACGGCGCGCCACCCCCCATCCCCGGCGGAGGGCACCGGGCGCTAGTGGCGGGCGCTGGGCGGCTCCGGCGGGCACCGAGCGGTGGCTCCGACCCCACTGTCAGCTGAGAGGGGCGGGCGGCAGGCGGTGCTGCGCTGCCGGTCCGCCCCCGCGGGGCTTTTAAACCCTGCGCCGTAGCGGCACCTCCCGCCTGGGCGCTCCCAACCCCGTGCTGGGTTGTGGGGGCGGCGTGACTGGGGGGGGGCGGCTTCCAGACAAAAAGCGGCGGGCGGGAAGCGGCGCTCCGGCTGTCAGCAACGTCTTCCTGTGGGAATGGCGCTGAGGACGGTGGGTTTTTGTTAGGCGGAAGGTCCGAACGACAGAAGTGAGCTGTGGAGGGCGGGTGATGGATGTGCGTGGGGCAGAGAAGGTCTCCGCTCGTGTACCATAAACGGGTTTCATCACATCGTGCTTATCATACAGACAGCTGTCTCCTTGTTGCATACACAAGGCAAAATCTAAAGCACTTCTTCATTCTCGGATTGCCTGAGATTTAATAACCATTGCACCGTGTCCGGGAAGAAATCAGCATTATCCTATCTGCATTTGTACAGCCCTGCTGTTACGGTCACTCTGTGTCAAAGCCCCGGCAGACAAATTTGGGGGCAGTATCTCCTTCTAAAAGGACTTAGACGATTCTGAAGTTCTGAGACTGTTTTTTCAATCTGATGAGCTCCCTGCTCATATTCAGTAATTCCACTGTCTGTACACTTTAAACAGGTTGTTTGCAGAATGCAGTGTGCTATTTCATCCTTCTCTGACAATCTGTTAGTCTCTCTCCATCCAACGAGCCATGCTTACATTACATTATATTCTTATATGATTGGTATTTGTCCTTATACAACAAAACGCTGGGAAAAGGAAATGCCTCCAAAGAATTTGGCATTTCACCTGCAGCATAGGCCATTAGATGGAGGCATGGAGAAGAACTGCTGCTTCCCACCTGCTGGCAACACAATGGCATCTTTGCTCTCTCCTTGCCTTGGATTCGCAAATTATAGGCCCTTTTTACGTCTCATCTTTCTCTAGTGTTCTACTGAAAATAGGCAAGAGCTGAAACAATTTCCACACATTGGAAAAAGAAGACCTCAGTCCTCTATCATATCACAGATTCTGGTGGCTGCAGTGCTCAGTGTGGCAAGCCAGACTGTTCCAGATCTAAGTAGGAGTGTTCTGGGAGCCCAGATATGTCCTCGACTTTGCACTGAGAGCCAGGCTATTTTATTTAGTTTGGTTTGTTTATTAACTTGTACCTGTCTACTCATTGGGCTCTAGGTCAGAGGGTAAGAGTTAAGCCAGTCTGACACTCATTCAACTAATTGCTCTCACTGTGGAGCACCATCACCTTGTAGGTCTCCCTTTTGGAGGACCTCAGTTACATCAGGACCATTTTCTTCCTGGCCAGGGGTGACAATTTCCTCTGCTCTGGTATGGGGCTGCTCTTCAATATCTTCATCAGTGATGTTGTCAGTGGGACTGAGTGGACCCTCAGCAAGTTTGTGGATGACATCAAGCTGTGTGGTGTAACTGACACACCTGAGGAATGAGATGCCACCCTGAGGGACCTAGGCAGGCTTGAGCAGCGGGCCCAGAAGAAGCTCATGAGGTTCAACAAAACCAACTGCAAGATCTGCACCTGGGTCGTGGCAATCCCCACTTTCTGTACAGGCTGGGGGATGTGAGGATGGAGCACAGCACTGCCAAAAAGGACCTGAAAGCGCTGATGGATGCAAGCTGGGTGTAAGCCAGCAATATGCCCTCGCAGCCCAGAAAGTCAGACATATCCTGGGCTGCATTAAAAGTTCCTTCCAACTCAAACAATTGGACAATTCTGTGAGTGGATACCTGCTTACAGCTACTTTTTTGTTTATTTTCTTTCGCAGAAAACCAAGCCTAGCCCCTTCTTTCTTCTGCCCAAGTACAAGCAGCTGCTCGTGGGGAAAGATCATAGGGTCTTTGCCTCAAGCCAGCTCAGCAGGGCAGGGTCCAGTTGTTTTGCTGCTTCGCATCACCCAGCAGAGCTCTATCTCACCCTATGCTCTGCTGTGCCATAATTTCTTCACACCTTTTCCGCAGCCAGAGAAGAGGTAGTGACCAAAAGGGTTGAGGTGTGGGGTGCATTTTGGATGATCAAAGTTAGTGGGAGATATGATGATTTTTTTCTTTCACCAGCCAAGGGTTTCAGAGCTCCACAAGGCATGATGGATAGGCTGCATGTCCCACATCCAAAATACATTTATATACATGAAGTGTCTATCACCATACTGATAAACATTCTTTGGAACCACTCTGATGGCAGAGGTAAGAATAATCCTGAGGAAATGAGGCTTGGCCCCAGGACAGCAGAATACAGAGCAGTGCCAGAGCAGAAGGAGCTTCAAATATGTTCTTCCAAGGAATGGGGATATGGTAGGACTGAACTGCAGAAACTTTACGGCATAGACCAGATCACCCATGACCTTTCTGAGTTTCCTGTGGCCACGGCTTTGTCCCATCACCTGCCAGTTTTCCAGTAGTGTGACAGCAAGGAAAGATTTTGGGCTTAGCAGGTTTGTTCTTCCTTAGGCACCCGTGTCTTCAGCTGCAGGGAATCTTTCTCCCAGTGTCAAGTTTTTTCAGCTTTCCCTCTCCTTAATCTCTCAGCCAGTCTTCTTTTTTTCAGAATCTGTTAGTTTAAATTGGGTCAAATGCTAACAAGCCTTAGTATCCTTAGGATCTGCCATAAGAGATCAGACTACAGGTCTGTCAAGCTCTTTGTCCTACTTCTGCAAGGAGTCAATGCCCGATATTTCAGAGAGGTGGAAAACCCTGCTATTTGAAGGGTATCTCACTTACCCTTGCTGGGATTCTGTTGCTTCACATTTTATTTAATTCAGCGTTCTTCAATGAATTGGAAATCATACTGCTGGTGATGGATTGCTCAACTCCTTAACATAACTCTATAGCTTCCTGCATACAGTCTTTCACCAGCTGCCAAGCCACATTGATTTTCCATTGAAAGCCTCTCTTCTTTTGCTCTAATACCTATATACTCACAAGATTCACAAGATCTGGTCAGGTAGAAGAGAGGGAAAACAAATAAGATGAAAATGAATGTCTGCTGTGCTCAGAAGGACAGTTCTCTGCTTTTGGATGACTTTCCTTTGGGCTGTTTGCAGTGCTGTGAGCTACTTCACAAAACGCAGAGCACAAATAGCTGGAAGAAACAGGCTGCTCATAAAGATGGACTTTTTGACTGACACTGAAGCCATCCTAGGCTCAGAGCAAAGGAGAGCACACAGCAGGAACAGAGAGAAAAACAAAAGCAGCAGTGAATCTCACAGCAGGGTTCATAAATAAAGCAAATTTTATTCTCCAAGCTTATGCAAGAAGACTGCTTAAAACATTGGAAAGGTATTTGCTGCCTCAGGCTTTAGAAGTAAGCAAACCAGATCAGTAGCCATAAGAAAAGCAAAGAACATTTCCTCCAGCACAATTCCTTGTTACTTGGAAAGCAGATACTGCAGGCACATATTCTAATATTAGATCAAATTATAATACCATTAAAGCAAGTAGCTCGTCTTCTATACTGGCCTCATATCTATAAAGACTAAGCTTGAATAAGAGCACACCGCTCTCCTCTGTCACACAGTATAATTATTATTCATACAGCAGAATTACAGATAACAAAGCAAAAGACGACTTTCCTGCATTTCTGCCACAGAATCTCTGAAGCTTCTGTGATTTGAAATTTAAATCTTTAAAATCTGTAATTCCCTATTGTAGCTCACTGCATTTTATTCACGTTATGTACGTCCATCACACACATGCCCTTACACTGCAATCACATATAGACACTCTTATCTGCTTTTGGAGAGGATCCTTGGCAGAGAGGTTTTGCAAGGTGACCGAAATGATTGAACAGCAACCTGCACCTTCTTTCCCACTACTCCTATGTTCTCAAAAAACTGCAGCCTTGTCCACTGTCTTGGCCAGAGCACCCAGTTCACCCTCGGTAAACAAATCCATGTTCAGTGTCAGAATGATGAAAGCCCAGGGCTCCTGCCTGCTACTTCGCTCCAACTCTGCCTTTGATTTTACACTGAGTGTGCAAGACACAACTGCTCTACCAAGAGACTGACTAGGTGGGCTGTCATCCTCGTCAAGCAAGGAGCAGGATCATACACAGCCATTACATTTCAGATGATTCAGCGCCACGACCCAGAGGTGAGAGCCTGTATTTTGCTCTGTGAGGTTTGCCCTCTGCTCTCTGGTCACAGAAGACGCACAGGCTGCGATAAAACCTAATCAGCAAAGTACGCGGCTTGGATAAATCACCGGCTTGTCATGCATTAATGGAAGTGTTGTGCTGCGAGCATCAAGCTAAAGCACCACGCCAATTTCCATCCATCTCTGACAGCATCACTCCCTCGCTGCATGACCTTGGCCAAATCCCCCCTAGCCGCACCAAAGCGGCAGCCTGCTGGAATCAGGTCAGCGCGCTCCTCAGCTGCACTCAGGAGAACGGAGCCAACGCTGCTGCTCCGCTGCCCCGACATCTGCCAGGACAAAGCTCTATTGTTTGGCAGGCGGCCCCGCTGGCGTCGCACCATGGGCAGGTGCACCTGCCTCTAAGCTCTTACCCCTCTGATACCAGTGCTCCAGCATCCAGCAGCTTACTGTGTGTTTGCCTGGGAGAGATCCAAGGAAATAAAGGAGGTACATGTTGCGGCGAGGGGAAAGGCAGGAGAAGCTGGATAGCTGCTTGACCACATGTCTGCAGAGATGCTGGCTGTGATGGCTGAGGCACAGCTGTGCCAGTGGTCGGTTCTCCCAGTTAGACCATCTCTGGCACTGGGAGGGCTTCCATGTATACCTCACTAACAAAATTTTCCTTTATCTTTGTTTCATAAAAATCAGGCCAGTCCCATGTCTGC